GTCGCTGAAAGCCGAGGTAACTGCTGGGCGGTGGGTCCGTGCTGCTTGTTAGATTCTTAAAACGTTGCGTGGGGACAAAAATCGGGCAAAAGAAAAACTTATTAAGATTTCCCATTTTCTCCTTCCTGGAGAAGACAAGGAGGAGTCTGTGCTGAGCGGGGTTCAGCTTGGCTGCGGCTTTTCGGTATCTTTCCTTTCGGCTCGTTGGGGTTTGGGGTGGGACAGGTTTGGGGATGGGCCCAGGTCGCTGTTCAGGGTCGCGTTGCTTTCATGGTGTGGGCTTCACCTCAGTCCCAGGGACACGGGAGCCTCGCACAGGGGGGGCCTTTTGTAGGAACTTGCCTCCCATCTTGATGAGTGTGTGACAGAAAATGTGACTTCCTTCAGGGCAGTTTTTAGTCCACCGAGCGTAACTTAATTGGAGTATGATGATAACAGTAGTGGATTTTAGCATGAGTAAAGGGAGGCGTGTGGAATATAGAGAAGAGAGTGGGGCTTGCCACAAGTCTTTTTTGCAGTGATGGCTCATACATGACACGTTACTGCCTGATCGACGGACCACAATAATAACATGACTGGCAAGTGCTGTCAGTACAGATGTTGAGAGGTGCAGAGCAGTTTCCTGATAAGGTGTTGTGCTGTGTAAAGCAAGCTTCTGCATGTCAGCTCATATTCCAAGAGAAAGAGGGAAAGAAGGCATTGAAAACATGAAAAAGGAAAGGACTGCTCCACTGATGCACCATGGGAGCTTGGCACTGAGAATTATGTGGGGCTTTCAAGCTCTGAAGTTTTTCTGTGTGAAAGGGGCGGGGGGGAGACTAGTTTTACATTTAAAATTTTTTAGAGGGATTAAATAAACTACCCGGCCCAGTATGGCATTTCTGTAATTTATTTTGAGTTACTTCATTCTTAAAAGCTCAGAGAGGATGAACTGATTTGGTGTCATTTTAGGATTTATTTTGCAGCAAAAAAAGCCTAACCAAAAAAAAAAAAAACAAAAACCAAAAAACAGACAACTAGTCTGTCTAATCTCACGGATCAGGATAAGAGCCTTTGTACAGAGCATTGAACATTAAGGCTCTCACTTATGAACTGGAGACTTCCTATCAGCAGTGATGCAGAGAGGAGAAGATTTTCAGATTTTTTCCAAAACTTTAATAAAAACCCTATTGATTTGCAGTCTTTCATGTTAAATGCTTTGATCTTTGCAAACCTCTCTGTAATCCTAAACCAGATATGTTGAGGGGAAAGGGGCTGGATGTCTTATGGAAGAAGCATGTTGTATGGCTGCCGTAGGACTTCATATCTGAAAAGTCTTGTCATCTGTGACTCTCAAGTCAGACTGTCATTCTAGTCCATATGGCAGCAGGATCTACCTGTTGTGAATTTGTGATTTTCTTGCAGGGGATGATACTTCATAGTTATATAGATGCCATCTTTTAGAATTGTTCTTGTTTTTCTGGTGTTACTCATAGTACCTAAACTTACTTACAGTGAAAGGGATGAAAAGGAATTGCTTTTTTTATTTTTAGTTTTATTTGAAATATTTAGGTAGTTTTTCTTATGTGCATGGGTATTTCACATCACAAGGTGGAGGGAACACATAGGGTGGAAATCATTAAGTAAACTAGAAGTCTGAGGAAGTTTAATACGATGTTACTTTTTATTCCTTTTTCCAATGGTTTAGATTTCTAGTTAATATCTGCTTTAAAAATTTAACAGTTTTACAAGCATCCTACATGTAATTTTTAAAAAATCTTTTATCTTTTTCGTTAAAGGTGGAGATAAACTACCATAACTAAAGCAAGATAGCTTTGGATACTATTTTTGTTGTTAAATTCATTTCAAACACGTTAATTGCCTTACTGGAAGTGAATTCTTCAAGTTTACCAGTATGGCTCTGACTATTATCTTGCTGAACAGTGCTTGCTTACGAGGCAGATGCTGCAGGCACAAAGTGTTGCGCCCGTTACTTGGACCTCTCATCAGCGATTCCATGTCTAAATTGCATAGCAGCTACAGGAGGCCAGGGTCACAGCCTGAGAAAAAACCATCTTGGCAAAATATTGATTTCAGTTTTAAGAAGGGCATTGATACCTTAAAGACTCAGCTAAGCATGCTGAAGAAGGAGACTGAAGATCATTTAACAGGACCTGGAGGCCAACTGTTCAGTCAGTACCTGTTGGAACAGACAAGGGTGTTGTGGGAGTTCCGGAGCCAAGAAGATTTAAATAAATGGGTTATTTCCTCTGATGTAGAGATTGGAGGGAAAAGTGAAGTTTACCTCAAATTGGGTAGGAATAACCAGGCTGCTCTGCTCTATGGAATCCTCAACACAGAAGTACCTCGTGATGGGGAGACAAAATACAGTGGATATTGTAGCATGAGATCCAAACCACCAGTGGTAAGTACAGCTTCATGTTTGCATAGCTTCTGTTATGAAAATGGAGAGCATTTGTGTGTAATCCCAGTGACAACAAGTGAACTGTTTACTGCAGTTGTGACTGATTGTTTCTGGGAATATTAGGTATTCCTTCATGGATGCAGTTGCTGCTCTATCCTTTGACCTGGAAGGAAGTTAAACTTTTTCTTGGATTTTATTTTATTTTCTTAGAAAGGGAAAAATATGCTTGGTCATTTACTTATGTGTGATAGGGCATCCACTCATTACGGCAGCCCTGTTTGCAACCTCTTTGCAAATGAAAGATCTGTAATGAACCCTTATCTCCAAAATTGGTGTGATTAAAATAGATGTCTCGCTAAATTTGAAGTTAATTGAATGTGTTATAAGGACAAATTTTCTGGTCTTTAAATTGGCCTATTCATCAAACTTGGTTTAGGTGAAGGAGTGTCTTTTTTACTCACAGGAACAGAAAAAAATGCTTTGGAATATACTTTCTAAAGGTCTGACTCCTACTGTAGATCAGAAAAAGCGAGACACAAATCTTTGGTAGCTCAGAATTGTACAAAACAGAACCAGAAATAGATGTGCTTATTATTGATACTGCTTGTTTCATTCCTTATTTCTAAGCACCTTTAAAAGCAAAAGAACATCTTGACTCTGTGTAAAAAATACTTAACTTTTTAGTCTGTTCTATCGGTTGTGACTTGGCACAAGTACACAGGTAAAATCTTCTGGGCCAGAAGCTTGGAAAGCAGAGAATATGAGTGAGCAAAATCAATGGGCAGATGAGAGGCAGATGAACACTGGTTAAAATGGTGACACTGGCTCAGAGGAATGGAACAGTAGGTTGAATGTCATCTGAGTTAAATTTCCAGGCTTGCTACTGACTTGTGTAAATGTGACTCAAAGTTTCACCTCCTAATTCTGAAGTATTTGAGGGTATTGGTCCATCTTTATAATGCAGTTTGAAATCAGAGTGTGAAAACATAAATACAAAGGCTCTTCTTTATTTAAGTAAAAAGGCTAAAAAACCGCAAAATCAAGTAGCCATAGCCCTTGTATTAATGTATTGATGATCTATTCATCCTACTACCTATAAGATGAGTTGGTAGAAGGACTGTTGATAGGTAACTGTAGTAGTGCTGTAAAATAAAGGGGAAGCCTCTGACTTCTTCATGCTGATTTTGACTTGTCTGAAGCAATTCTGGCCAAGAATAACCATGACCCCCACCCCACCATCGCTCCAAGGGACCTCAGTGTAACTCTGAAGACTCTTGGATCTGCATGTGGGCACATCGCAACTCTGGGACTTTTAAGTTCTTTGGAAAAAAATGTGGTTGAGAATTAACATGCTTGCAATTCGTATCATTAAGCACAGTTAATGACAAAAAAGCGTTGGAAAACATTAAATGCTTCCAGTGCTTATGTCAGCCTTCAATAAGGGAAGTTATCGCAGGGGATATATTATCCCACTGCTTCAATTTCGTATAATCACCTCTGAATAATCTAGTACTGACTGCAGAATATTAAACATAATGAATTACGTTAAACCTAATGAACTACATAACTAGTGATCCGTCACTCTAGGATTTGCGTACTTGACTGGTGGGGAATTTGGTCCTAGGAAGGAGGTCTGATTTCTGATAGTTACAGGATTGTGGTTTACAATTAAAGCATGAGTCCTCAGAGTGGTAATACTGCAATTTGTGGGCTCCAATACAGTGCTGAAGGAAATTCAGTGAGATCAGCAGCTAGTATGATGAAAGTAACCCAGTTTTCACTATGTCTCAGTAGATATTATTTGACATAGTAATGAGGGCAGTGATCAAAGCAGTAGTGCTCTGTTCTTCATAATGGAAGTTTCCCTTTATTAAGGAGGAATAATTCTATTTATTAATAATTTGTAGGGATCTTTTGCTAGGAAGAAGTATTATGACTGGTCAAACTTCAACAGCCTGTATCTACGTGTCCGTGGCGACGGCAGACCTTGGATGGTAAACATTTATACAGACCCTTACTTCTCTCATCAAAAGGATGACCTCTACAACTACTTCATGTTCACCCGAGGAGGCCCTTACTGGGAGGAAATAAAGGTGAATTAATGAGTCTTTCCAACTAACGAGACTATCTTGGGGTCCTGACCGTAGCTCTGTGGAAGGGGAATTCTTTCAAGTTACGGTTTGTTGCTATTGCTGTCCATTCAGCATTGTTTCTGCTACATGTCCTCATATAGACGTGTGCCTTTGGCTTGGGAGTTCCCAAAATTGTACATCACTGGGTTGTGGGAGGGCACACTGTCAATTGTATTAAAGATTTGATCCACCATATGTTCACCTAGATGTCTGCTATTAGCTATTACTGGAACAGTAGAATAGATACAGTGATTGAGGCTTAGCAGGTGTTGCCAGGAATATTCTGTGGTAACCATTTTATCTGTAATACAAATGGACGTAGGCTGGTGTAGGATTTGTACCCTGCAACAGGATTTGCTTAGTCAGAGAGTCAAAGGTGAGTTTTGTCACTTATGGCCTTTGAATCTGTGACACAATTATATTTGTAAGAAGTGGGAGGTTTGGCACTTTTCTGACGAAACTTGGGGAGCTTTTGTAATTTGCTGATGATGACATTAAGGTTTGCATGTCCTTATGAACTGGCATTCAGTGCTTCATAATACCATTGTCCAGTCGTGTGAGAAGAGCCCATTGCTTCACAGATGAGGAGTTAGGAGGATGAAAATGGGTGTGTCATTGCTGGTTTGCGTGCTTTCCTCTCACCCACACCAGCCAACCCTCCTGTTTCCTCTTATTGCAGCTCCTCTCCTTTCTTGCTCCCACAGCTTTCAAAGCCATTTTTACATTACTCTGAACTGCTTTGCTAGGTGATCGATGTCTCCAGTAGGAAGTTTGCACTATGAGATGCACAGCTTGGGTACAGACAAGCTGTCGATATACATGCATGCTAGACTTTTCCATTAATTTCTGGTTTATGTTGACATGTTATGGGAAGGAGATATTCTCAATGTAAACAGTCACCTTCTGTGCTGCAGCCTCTCTTTGTGCCCTAACATGATAACAATCCTGCATGGCAGCTACAAATGGCCACCACAGAACATTGTGGGGCTGAAGCTGGCTGCGAATGGTTAAGGAAAGGGTTAATGTGGCCCATTTCTCTGTGCCAGTTCTATGCACCCAGCTAGTGCTGGTAGCACAGTATGATTTCATTTCCTAAGGCAGACTTTTTTTTTTTTTTTTAAATTATTCTATGTACTGGTGACACTAAATTCTGGTTTGGTTTTATTTTGTTTCTGTCAGATTCCATTTTCCAAATTCTTTCTCTCCAGTCGGGGAAGAGTGCAGGATGACCAGCATCCTATCTGGTTAGACAAGGCAAGTTTTCTATAAGCTTTATCTGTCTGCAATTTCCTTTAAGATTATATTGTCATGATATAGATAATTTACAAATCCTTTAATGTTTGTGAATTTGAAATTGAAGGGCCTCTTCTTGTTATAAGGTACTTACTCCTGTGTGCTTGCCTTTGCATATAAATTATCCTACTTTGTCATAGCAGTGTCAGTTTACTTCAAAAGAGCTCAAATTATATTTTAATGAGATCTGTATAACCAAGAAACTGCTCACAACTTTTGCTTCTCAAAAAAAAAAAAAGGTTGTTTTTGAGGAATGATCAAAGTGACTAAGAAATCTAAAATGTCAGTTGGCATAGTACTGCCAAAAATAATAAAAGTAAGTATCATAAACTTCCTTCCTGACAGATGACTGTAAGGGATAGCTCATAATGAGATTTTATTTGAGGATGTACTGTATCAGTGACCTTGATGGTTAGCAGTAAACTGCTGTATTTATAGGCTCTTTTCTAGTTTTTTTCATGCTTTCTGGTTGAAGTATTAGGTAAAAGTATTGAGTGTATTTTTTTCCTGCAAATAAGTAGACTAATTCACTGATTCACAGTGGGAGATATGTTGGAAGAAATTGTTTCTATATTTTTTTCTTTTACATTTCAGTGACTTAAAAAAAAAACAAAAACCCCTCATCCCCCCCAAAAAACCCAAAACAAAAAAACCCAAACAAAAATTCCAAACCCTCCTGTATACAGCTGAGGGCAGCTTAGTACCCAGTGACTGCTGAAAGGAAAACAATGTTAGAGAAAATAAAGGGCCCACGACCTGAATCACTGTTAGTTACTTGGGATGTTGCATTCAGTTCCTAACTGCCTTAATAATAATAAAAAAAAAAAAAACAACTCCAAATAATAAATTTGGGAAAAATTTGAGGGCAATTCAGTGGTTGGCAGCACTAAAACAGTCTGGTTTAAAACAGAAGAAATTGAGGTTGTAGAAGGCAAGTATGAATGATATGAAGAAGGTGGATCAACTACGAGGAAAAATACACTTCATGGAAGACAGTTATTCTAAAAGGCCTATGCTTAAATACAGACACTGAAGAATTTATCAGGATTTGGAATATAGAATAATTCAAAATGGTTAATGAAAACATAAAGTTGTATATGGGGTGTTTAAAAATATTTACCAAGAGTTAAAAGGGCAAAATGGTACTTGGTCTAAGCATCCTTCACTTACTTTTCATTCCTTATTGTCTTATGCTTAGTATTTCACTGTAAAAACTATGCACTTGCATACAATATTAAATGTAATTTTACAGATGCATTTTAAAGAAACCCAAAAATAGGGGAAGTAGTGTGAAGGCAATTAAATAAATTAATTAATTAAATTAATTTAATTAGGATTAAATGTCCTGGTCCCTCACAATACTACTGTACGCTTTCCCAGGAACCAGGAAAGGCATTGTTAAACAGGAATAAAAAGGCAGGAAATAGCCAAAGTACCTAGGGCTTGCAAAGGAGTAAATTCTTCAGAGCAGAGGGTTTAGGTGGCTCCCATACTCATCTATAATATGAATATAACAATAGAAACTCTCCAGGCTCCATAAGCCAAGGGGCTGATTGTAGAGCTTGCTTCTGGGGAAGACACACCATTTGTAACATTAGAATAATCTGAGAGGAATGTCAATGCGGTTAATTACTTCAGCTTTGTTCTATCATTTCTTTAGCATACATTTGCAATATATATTTAGCCTCAGCCTACAATTATTCAACTTTATCTGACACATCCTATGCATTATTTCCCTGCATGTACAGCAGTCCTTAAAATAATGGGTACAGCTCAGACCTGTGCTTCTAGCAGTGCTTAGGGGCAGCCAGAGCTGAACAGGTGGCATGCCACTGGTGACCCAACTTGTTTTAGAACTGCTACCACTGGAGTCTCTGAAAGGTGACTGGTGACATGTAAGAGCTGAGAAAGCTTTCAGGCAAGGCACAGGCTAGTAGGAAACATGCCTGAGCCACAGAGATTTTAATGGAATTTGTTAGAATAAAAATTATTTGCTTTAATTGGAATAGTGGTGGGGGAGAACATTAGGGGAAAGAAATGAGTAATGTTCTTATATTTAACATTATTCTAATTGGGAAACAGTGGCCAAGAACATTGCCTTAGTATAAAACACAGCAACAAAGTTTCTTGCATTTTTAATATGTCTGTTTTGGTGCACTTTCACACTGTACTATGTGTATGACTCGATCTAGAATGAAAGTTCCTTTCTGTCCTTAATTCTGTTCCGTTTGTGTTTCCTGTCCACGTAAGAATTGCAACAGATTTTATGAAAGTGTTTATACACCTAATTATAATGAAACTGGCACTGCACAACCCTTGAAGGATAAAAACTGCAGTGTTGCTTTAGGCTCAGGCCATTTCTAATAGAGGGTTCAACACTGTGATGGAAAGGCAAACGTGAAGGAGTTTTCCAGTGGGGTCTGTATTGAAAATGTGTCAGTGAAGTGTTCAAGCCTTGAGAAATGCTGCTGCATTTTGAACAAATAAGAGTTTAAAGTAGATGGCCGTGAATTGTTTGTAAAATATGGAAGGGGTGGATACAATCAAACACAATTTTAACATTATAAATATATTTCTAAAGTATGTATCTTTTAATTAGATTAGTACCCTTGGATTCACAATTGGAGATAAAGTAGATGGTCCGTTCCAGCTGGAGATTGATTTTATTGGCCTGCTAAACGATAGAGCTCATACAGAAGAATTTGCCTATGAAACATATGAAAAGAATCCTCAAGTCTAAGTTGGGCTGGTGTCCTTTGGGACATTCTTCAGATGCTTGGTTCATTTTTATAAAACACTTCTTACTGTGTGGCTTATAACAACTTGAAGATTCTATGTAAACATTAAAGAGATTAAGTGCATGAGATGTTGACTGCAGTAATCTAACTAGAGTGATGCTGTTGGCATCTTTGAGCTGCCAAATACAGAACCCTGGAGAGACTGTACATACATGGACTGGAACAGAGCCTGAGGAGAGTTGTGATACATTCTTGCAAAGGAGTAGCTGTTGACTGGGTAAGTTTTGGCTTCTGTCCTGACCTTTACAGAAATAAAAGTATTTCATGAGATTGGTGTAGTTCTTTTCTGTACAAAAGTTGTATTTTCTACATTATATAGTTTGTAGACAATTGTAAAACACTCATATCCACTAGTTTTAAACTGGAAAAAGTATGATGAGAATTAATTCCATGAGGAATGGTGCTTGAGTGTGACTCAGCTGCTGAAATTTACAAAGAATAGCACCAGCAGTGGCAACCGCAGGAGTATTTCAATCTTTAGCTTTGGCTTCTTTGACTAGCTAAAAAAAGAACAGGCTGCCACTGCCAAGACTGAAACAGGAGCCAGGCAGCAGGCTTGGCTTTTTGGTTAGTCCTACAGCTTTATAGAGCTAAGGGTGTTGAACAGAAGTAACACTCTGAGTGGGATTGGGGGAGACCCCCATCACTGTTCCCTGAGAAGGCACAGCTCAGCTTGATCAGCACCGTTACAGAGCACATCAGGTCACACTTTTCTGATGTGTGCAATTAGCTTCACTGGGCTGTTTGGTAAGAAGGCACAGGCTCAGCTGGTGCCAGAGAAGCTCAATACTTCCCTTTTTCTGAGGAGTCCAGTTTTCAGTAATTTGAGAAACACTTTAACGAACAAGTGATGAATGGTTTTGTTTCAGACTTGGTCTTATCGAAGCACTGACCTCCTCCACCCATTAAGTGTATCTTACAGATATTAAATATATCTAAATTGTATATGGAAGAGGCCCCAATAAAGCAAGCTGAAGCAGGGTCTTGTATTATCATTTTCTTCTTGCACAGAATGAAACGGCTTAAGAGCAAAAGAGGAGTGATGGTTATTGTTTCTGAAGATACTGGAACAAACATGCATTCAGCAGGTGGGAGGCAGGTTAACTGGTAAGGAAAACTCATCACAAAAAAAGACACTGAGTATTAAATACAAATGGGAACAAAACTAGTACTACATTAAAGTGATAGTTATACATAGGACACCAGATGATATAACCAGTGATAAACAAGATATATACAAAATATTTATTTTCTCCCCATTAAGTTTATAAAAAAAATTGCTTGTTCTTGACATTTCAGCATATATTTGATAGGACACTAAATTCACTGAAACAATTCTAGCTGAGATTACAACTGCTAAATTACCTTTCCAGTTCCATCCTTAATAAATCCAGACAGTTTTTCTATGTAGTTTTTAAAAGTAACAATAACAGCTTTTAAATCCAAGGTATCAAGCATGCCTAAACACTACTGTAACCTCTTTAAGCATCATATTTACCGTAGAAAGGAACAAAACAACCTGAACTGTTCAAAGCACTCAGTTTGTAATTTGTAAAGCCACTTGTCCGTTGTGACTTTTAAAAAATATGGTATTTTACAATTATGTTATGGTGTAAGCTTTTAGTTTTCCAGAGAGCTTGCATTTTTTTTTTCTTCTCTTGGAAACTCTCTACTACTTTATAGGCTTGTAGTTAGAAATGCTGAATAAGTGCTGCAACAGTTTTTAGAGAATTTAAGGATTGCTTTGGAGAAGAGGGCAAGCAGACATCTCCAACTCCTGGGATTTACCAGAGGAACATTTTGAAGCTTGCTATGCACAGAGTGTATTCTAGTGGGTAACAAATGCATTCTGGGGGAGAAGTCTGTCCTAAGTTGCAAGGAGGCTTCCTGAGCATTTTTTTTTCAACTTACATTTTCTCCTTTAACATCTTTTAGTTAAATGAGTTAGGTTAAATGAAAGCATTATTAAGTAACTAGAGACAGTTCTGCGGTCTCATCTCATTAGAGAAGTTGATCACTAAAACATTACACTCAGATGCATTTTAAGATCTTATTCAACTAGCTAATAGCTACCTGAACCACACACAGACAGCAGAAATATTTACATGACAGCAACAGTATTTACAGTTATTTCTTAGATATTTCTTATTTCCCTTAACACACAGATAGTCCTCTGCGGTTTCCGAGAGTCTGAGCCTTTTTCTTTTTTCTTTCTTGCTCATGTTTCTCACGCCTTTCTTCCCTGAAGGGGAAAAGGAAGAGAGACAGACCATAATCAAGTTATATTAAAGCTAGAGACACACCAACCAAAGGAATCTGAAGCTCACCAAAGCTTAACATGTATTTAACCAGTGTGCTGCATTTGCCATGGGCAGGGAGAACAGCTCCATTTTAGACTGAATCCAAACATTCAGGCAAATACTTCTGCTTAGACCTACAGGTCTAACATTCAAGGTAACAACATGTCAATATTCACAGCTTCTTCTAAAGGTGAAGGTATGTCTCCAAACACTAGAACTGATAGCTTTCATAGAATAAAAGTCTATTGGATTCAGAGCTGCCCTCTTTGTTGGCCTTGCTGATACTAGACAAACTACTGGAAGCAAGGATTCTTTCCTGAACTGTGTATCTAAATCCTAAAAAGACAATTGAGTCATCATATAATTTTAAACAACACTATTCATGAAAAGTTATTGCTGTACTAACCTTGTCTGGAGAGGTGGCTGTTTGTAATTTTTCTGATGTGAAGAGACGTTGCTACCGACAGACTTTTTTAGGACTATGTTTTCTTTAAATTCTCCCCAAGGTTTTAGTCGTCCTACAATTTAGGGGCAAGAAGAGAGACTACTGAATTACTAGTGTAGTAATTGCGTGCTTAACATATTGCAGTGAATTTTACACTAGCTAGCCTGTTGTTTTTTTTTTCTGGTTGACTTTAAGATTAAATGCCTCTTCAGCTGTATTATCAGTTTCACCAGCCCATTTCCTACAAGTAGTTTTTCTATAAGTAGTAACAAGTGACTGTACTTAGAAGTAACACCACACAAAGTTCAGCTTCTCACACAACAGTGCACTTTTAAAAAAAATAATAATTATGTAAAGGAATCTCTCATATTCCCTGTATATACATCTATTCAGTGGTATACAAGGATGTTTATTCTTATATTTATGAGCTTTTGGTCATAAGGACTTATACTTCAATAGGGAGGCTCTTAAAACATATATTATGTAGAAATTTAACATCAGTCTACAGACAGTGTGGGAATCCAGAGAGGAAGGGAAAGGGACAGGAAAAGAGACTGAAAACTTTGCTGTGTCATGGCTTGTATCAATGCCTTACTTTATGAGCCCTTACGTATAAGGGATAGGACCAACACAAACCACACAGGCCCACAGTACCTTTGTGTGGCTGATAATTAAGCGGCCTTGAGAGACTTGCTTTGAGATCAAATGTCTTCTTGGTGCTTGTGGGTTCTGCAGGGTGAGCTGCAAACTTGAATGGAGTCATAACTACAAAAGGCATCAAGATATTACAATTATAGTAGCAAGAACATCACTCTATATAGCAAGGTGGAAAGTACCTGTGAAGAGTTATCAAGACCAAAGAGCCATTAAATGCTACCATCTGCCCTCTCTAAAGACAGATTGCACAAATACAGCTCCCTTGAAATTGGGAGCTTTCAGGTCTGGAAAGGGCAGGAGTTGCAGAGTATTAGCCCTTTTGCTCCGATTCTGCTAAGCAGTAGCACATACAGCTCCATGTATTTTTCTAGTCCTTCAGAGCAAATTATGTTTCCTATTCCCTATACTTATTTGGAACCAAGTGAATTTTCACAATTAAAAAAGTATTCTTCCAGAACACAACCGCTTCCCATCAGCAGTGGAAGTTTTCTTTCCTGCCTAAATATTCTTCCCTCCCAAAAATTCTTTCCCCCCCTAAATATTTGCTGTCCACTTTACCCTTTGATGCAGTCAGATCATTATTGCTTGCATTTCCCTTGCTGTTTTTCCGACTTATCAGTTTGCAGCTCTTTTGGCTGTCAGGTGTACAAATCCCCTCCAAGTATGGAGACATTCTAGATGGAGTCTTGGTAAGAGAGCGTTTATGCTCATTATCTTTTGTGGCTTCCGAAAACCTAAAAATTATTAGAAATATGAAGACAAAGTTAGTCACCTACAAGGAACGTAAGCAACATGACAGAATACAGAAGGTTCTGTGTTCTACCTTTCTTACAGACAGGAAGTTTTACTGTATAAGATATTCACAGCCTATGCATAAGCTGCACTAAAAACACCTTCGCTGGCAGTTTTCGAGTTATGAGCCATCGTCAATAGCAGCAAGTAATATTAGGAATTACAAAGAACAGACTCTCATGTTATTTGGAGAACAAATATATTTGGATGTAGTAAGCTACTAGATTTCCTTACCAACAGATATTACTTACTTTAGATATGGATTCTATAGTAAGACATTTATATATATATGTTACTTTGAAAATTCAAGTTAAGAAAAACTAAAAAAAAATTAACAGAACTCTAGAACACAAAGATCTACAAGAGGAAGAAGCTGGAAACTTTAATCAAAGCACACAAATTGCCTGCATATCAAGACATGCACATGTGCTGTATGTATGTGTGTATATACACACATTTTAAATGTATATATGTGTATACATATATATAAACATATGAAAGAAAATTCAAAATCTTGCATGAAGTAATAGCCTTATCAAAGAGGCACTGAGAATATGATGAAAACCGTCACGATATGGAAGCTTTCATTTGTTGTTATCTGTTGAAATCAAAGACAGCACATTCAAAGTATGAACTAAGACAGTAAGATTATGGATTGTAAAAGGAATCTGTACTCTTGACTTTTGAATAGCAAAAGAACAATTATAACTCCCATAATTATTTACTAGGAGTTGTCAATATGAGAAGTCACACTATCTGACTTAATAATAACACCCCCCCTACACTTTATTCCCAGACAAGGAAGTCCCAGCAGTTACCATCTTGGCATGCAAAAGTTGAGAGGTGAAGGTTGTCAGAAAAATAGAAAGTAACACAACCGAGACCTCAGATTAACCAGATATTGTTAGCAGGGGGAAAAGGATACGGGTAAAGCTGAAAAAGAGTTAAGATTCCTCTACCATTCAGACATCAAAACAAAGAAGCAAGATACTAACAGCACAGTAAGGCTTAAACCAACCATAAAGCTAGACTGAAAGCAATCAGAATTAGTCTCGTAGTTCATGCTTGGAATAATGTAGTCAAATCAGTCAGCATACCAAATTGCTCACTGGTAGTTTTGGTTTGTTCTTTTTACCTGACATTCATTTTGGCTGTTGAAAGGACAGAAGGATTAAATGAAGATTTCCTAGATAAAATACTCCGATTGGCAGTGTTCAGAGCACTGTGTGGTGAACGCCGCAGGGTACTAGGGGTGCAGGTGGCGGAGAATCTGCCTCTTTCTGGATTTGGGCTGAATAAAAACGTTTTGCCACTGGTTTGTTTCTAGGGAAAAGCAAATCACAAGTTAGCGCACTCTTCTAAAACTTTATCAGAAAAGCAGCTAAGAGGAAGGGAAAACACACAGTGAGTCAAGCATATAGTCTCTTAAGGTTTTCCCTTTTTTTCCTTAAAAGCATACTTTAAAAGTAAGTAGTTATATTATTATTAAACTGATCTGAAAATATGTACTTTAGAATTGTTATGTGGAGTGCCTTTTTCTGGCGCTCTTAAGGGGTTTGATTTTTTGGCCAGCACCTGCCAAAAGTAATTAGTCTTATGTATACATTGATACACTGTACGCCATAGAAAAGAGAAAGGTGGTGTTCAAGAGTTTCAGTGTTACTGTTTTGATATGGCCATTAGCATATTCATTCATATATTCACTGACACATTACTGTCACTTTTCTAAAGGTCTGTCACACTCTGAATGAGGCCCTATTAGCAGCTTTCGCCCATGCAAGCGTGAAATACAAAAACCGAGAACAACGTATGTGGTGTGTATTTTAAAGGGGAGTCATATGCGGTCATTGGACAATGGTTCTTTAAGGCACAAAAAAGGAGCTAATGTGCAATTCCTCCTCTTTGGAAACTAGCCCACCCCCTCGGTTAAGTTCTGCAGCAATTCAAACAGTTATAAGCAAAAGCTCCAGGAGATCCTTCACAAAAGTAATTGTGACAATTATTTTTACTCAAAACTGACAAGTTATTTGTTGGTTCCTGTAACTATTTATAGCCATACACTGTTAATATATTAAAACTTCTATAACTCTACAAGTTATATACAAATAACCAAATATAACTAGTTATATAGGACTCCAGTTAAATTTCACTGATAAGATTCCACTGCACGTGCGCATAACCAGCTACTTCCTGCTCTACTCTATCGGGCTTTTAACGAGAGGCTCTGGAGATAAATGAATGTGGGAACAATGGGTATCTTCCTATATTATAACTTACCTTGACTTCATTGTGAGAACTGCTGCAGTTTTCATTCCTTTTTTTTTTCCTCTCAGTGTAGTCAACAATAGATTCCATTTTCTTGAACTGAGCCTCATGCAACTTTTTAAAGTCTAAGAAGTTCCAAAAATGAGAATAGTCACATATCTGATAAGCTCCTAAGGAAGTTTACTACTTAATAGAAGAATGTTGCAACACCTATTGTTATGGCCTCAAAAACAAACAAGAAACCAAACAAACCCACCACACCAACATATCCCTCTAATTAAAGGCTCTGCGTACACAGGTAACCAAACAGTATGAATCAGAACCTACTGCATCAGCTACATAGCCAGTTACTTGATGCATGCTCTGGAGAATTACAGAATGGTTTGGGTTGGAAGGGACCTTTAAAGATCATCTAGTCCAACGCCCAAATTCTGCAGTTAAATTAAAAAAAAAACCACACACAAAAAACCACCCACTTCTAAATTTTAAACAAATTAATATATTTTACGAAGTGAAGAAACTGAGCTAATACATTATAAATACTATTATTGTGCTGGACTATTGGGTGAAAACTAAACAAGCAGGAGTAATAGCATGTCATCCTGCTCTGTTTTGAAAATCATGAATGCAAGTATTATATCCAAAAGACAGAGTGTTCAGCAAACCAGTTTTATAACATACACGTGAGTCTTTTACTACCATGAATTTACAAGTTGGAAGATACACCTTAAAATGTAACCTTTGTGAACTGTTTCTGTTTGCTTGCTTTTTAAAGAGAGGATGTTCTCTTCTTCAAGAAGAAATAGAAATGCGGGTTGGAAAAAACTGTAAGTGAAGTCTCCCTTCACACACAGACAATACATCTAGATGGCAGGTCATCTTACTTGGTGTAGTAGTAGCTTTCATTTCTGTTTTCCCAGACCTAGATGCACGGCCTACAGATACAGGGATCTTCCCTCCTGCACGATGAGTATCACCTGGTACAGTAAGATTAGACAAAATCATTGGAACACCTGGAAAATATTTTAATGTCATCACAACCTTTTTAAAAGTATTTGTTCCAAAACGCACTTCGCCTCCTCAGAGTGGGGTTGGTTTTGAGAAATAAAGACACCAGCACAGATACTTCTAATTACAGTTAAATGAAGAGATGAGTACTTTGCCAACTGTCAGGATGAATGCTGCTTCCAAAGCATCCTCTACATATTCTATTGCTTCTATTTTTAAAGTAACTTCGCTGAAAATCCGCATTTTCTGAATTAGTTTCAAAATTATAAATGGCCTCCAATAAGAAAGTCCCTGTAAATTCTACTGAACAGCAAGAATATCCATAATGCAGCTCAAGGACTATGTACATTTAGTCTAACAGGAGCGAACAATGCTATATATCTTATCTGGCAGACCCAGAATATCAATAAATTATCAGATTGGGCAGACAAACTCATTTCTTCATGTCAGCTGCATGCATGAAGGAGTTGAGGAAAAATGAGTTCATGTCTGAAGGTCTAAAAAAAGCCATCAGATAGAAAAGTGATCTACTGTAGTACATTCAGATATTGTTAGGCAGTTTAAATTAATGGTAAAGGATTCTGTGTGTCCACTTTTTTTCTTTTAGTCCTGGGGAAGACAAGGACAAAACCTGTTCATCTGTAGGAAAAGAAAAATAAAGCATGAGAAAGGAAGCTCTCCCTTTCTTGCCACTTTTTAAAGGAGCCAAGTAGCATCTTAGGGGTATTCCAAAAGGCACTGATCCTAAATAAGGTGAAGGCTCAAATACACTTAGACCTTCGAGAACTCCTTCACTAAAAACACCAGGTCCAGAGTTCTGAAGTCAAAACCAGCAGGATTTCTACATTGTGGATTTGTGTTACAACATGCAAACAAGTACACTAAATCAAAGAGATGGATTTTTTTCTGGCATCTCCAAATAAAGTACTGATCACCAGATGTGCAACAAAAATCTTTGCAGACACAATAAAATAACCAAAAGGGACATTTTAAGTAGTACAAATTACTAATTTTTTGGAATTTTCTACTTACATTCATGTCTTCTTTTAGTAGAAGTCTTCTCTGGCTGTCCTTTCTGAGCAGCACCCATCCCTGGATTCTCAATAGCTTTCTTTTCAGTTACTGGTTCTTCATTTTGGAATACCTTCTGTCCCTTTCCACACTCACCCTTAGGCACTTTGTTTTCTTTCATTTCAGAATGCTCCTGCAGTTTAAACATACTTTATTGAAACAGTTTGTTCGACTGGATATAAAGAAAGGCTGTTGTTCTAAGAACAGTCAGTGGAACAGGTTTCCCAGACAGGTCGCATAGCCTCCAACCATAGAGGTTTTCAACATCAGATTAGGTAAAGCCTTAAGCATTGTGGTGTAACCTCATAGTTGACCTTGCTTTGATCAGGAGATTGAACAAGAGACTTTCTGAAGCCCAACTGGAATTAACCTATGAGATGCTTACCCTGTTATCTTTATTAGAAAGCTTTTACTTGCACAGCTCTAACACTGTAGTACTTTTGTCAATAAAGGCAATTTTGTAAGTTATTTGCAAGTAAAAATAAGGTCAATGGCTGTTACTTTCCACTATTGTAGCTAAGGTTACTGTACAATTCTCTAACACTAACAGACTAACACTCATCTTCTCATTTCCCTTCTCTGACTGTAAATCTGTCAGTCTTACACACAGTTCTTAGTTCAACCACTGTTTGCATGTCATTCTAGAGAAAAATAATTCTACCCCCATGTCACCTTGGAACTTTCCCCCACCTCCATCATACAATCCATGAATAAAGAACCTACTGAGAGGAGTGTGAATTTAAAAATGGGGATATTTAGGCAATCATCCAATTTCTGTTAATTTTTCTCCGTAAAGAAGTAATGACTAACAAGTAATCTCTGCTCATTATGGAACAGCACATAGTCAAGACAGACAAAAGTCAGTGCTACCAAGTACAGAAGACCAGTACCAGAATGTCTGCACATGAAATTCTTATCTATGCACAAACACACACACACACACACACATATATATACATATAAAAATGTATACCACCTGCTAAATGGTGGCAGAACAAATCAAATGTGTTTAGTTTATGCTTGGGAGAAGGAGTGGAAGCCAGCACACAAAATCAAGCAAGGCAAATCACCTCTTTCTCAGCAGAAAAACCTATATTTTCTTCACTGGCATTAGTTTCCCCATTGGAGTTCCTCTTTTTTCTTGTTTTCTTTTCTTTACCACATCTTTTTGTAATAAAACATACTGAGTCAGGCATAATTTTCTCCCGATTGCTCAGTTCATCTGATTCAATGGAAGCAGGCGCACTTTTTTCAGAGTCCTGTAGCAGAAAAATATAATGTGGAACACATCTGACACAACCATAAAGTTAGACACTCCAAAGAGACAGTTTCAACTTTATTATTGGAGAAAGTATTTTATACAGAGGAAAAACTATGCCATTTAGTAGCATAGTAATCAAGAAATAGGCAATATCTAGGTTTCCCTAAACATCAAAGTTCACTGTTTGAAGACTTTAAGAAGTCCTACAGTTGTTTTATTATATAGCATTTTAACAAGATTATAAAAAAACTAATACTTTAAGTTTGAAATCTGACTTGCACGATGCTGTGACCTTCACAGATTTGTACGTTTCTGTGGAATACTTTTCACCAAAAAAATCAGAGCCTCTGCCATGCTTGTTAAAATTAAAGATAAGTTTCCATGGTTTACACCTGTTCCTCAAACCTTTAAAGTAAAGATTTTAAAGGAAGCACTTAAAGGAGACATATTATAGAAAAAGCAGATCCCAATTTACTTTCTATCCAAAAAATGTAAAAAACATCACTATACCCAACAAAATAATTCAGTTTACAGAAGAGAAAACTTTTTTTAAAAGTTAAGAAAACAATACATTAAGAGATTAGTAAAGGAAACATCGCAATTGTGTCACTTTCATTATAGTATCAGTGTAAGTCCATTGTAGTAGGGGCAAAATAGTTTCAGATGAGTATCTAGTCCCTTTCATCTAGGCAGGCAAAAGGAATAAAATATTTTTGTATTTGGTACTGACTAGTATCTGGAGCTAAACAGGCAAGAATTAATATTTGTTCAACAGAAATTAAAGGCTAGCATTCACAGAGAACAATTTTGTACTGATTCTGAAAAATACATGGATAATTTTGGCAGCTAAGAGGAAATCAGATCATATAGGAGGCCACTTCCAAGCACATTTGTTTCTATCAGTACCTGAGTATATTAAACTAAAGACATTATTAAGAAAAAGGAATATTTATTACAGTTCACATCATGATAGAAAAACAACCTTCACAACATGCCCTGCTCTACTAGTTAGAAAGTTAGATCAATCTCTCCTAAAAGAGCAGCTGATTTATCATCTATTACCATATTTCTGTTTTCTTCTTTTGCTCCATTAAAATGCTGCTTCAGTGCTTTCAACAATTTGTCTCCCTGGAAAAAATCAAAACAACATATAAACCAAATATTGAACTAAGTCATCAAACAAAAAAACTGCATAAACCCAACTAGTGTCCTATAAATTGATCCAACAAACAAGCAGAACATTTCCTAAATCTGACAGAATAAGGCATTCCTAGAGCTTCATTCGAGTCAGTCAGATTAGAGAAAGTGCTTAAGGCCACAGACAAAGACGCAGCATATTCTCCACAGAAGTACAAAGACAAATTTCTCTGACTATGTTTCTTCTGGTCTATTTTCCAGAAAGTTTAATTGTTCAAGGATGAACAAAACTGGTTTTGGCAGCACTGCCTAGCTGAACATGAATTAAAAGTGTCAAACTTCAGCAACAACTTCTTACCCACACTACACACAAAGCACTCTTCTCATCCCTTGCATATGCTCAACAGTAATAGCAATAAAATAACAACAACAAAATTACATCATTGGCATTTTATCATACAATCACAGAATGATTTGGGTTGGAAGGGACTTAGAGATCCAAGCCCCCTGCCATGGGCAGGGACACCTCCCACTAGCCCAGGTTGCTCAAAGCCTCATCCAGCCTGGCCTTGAACCCCTCCAGGGATGGGGCATCCACAACTATGAAAGACTCTTAAATACCCAGCTGGACAGGTCATCATAAAATCAAACCTGAACTAGAAGTTTAAGAACAAAACACAAAACTAAACCCCAAAGCAACAATCCTTTTCCTATCAGGACAAGGAGTCCCTTTGTCCACCTAAGTCACAGATCATCTTTCTTTCAAGCTTTTGTGCCTCCTCCCCCTAGCAGCGCAGCGGCCTGAGTGCTGATTTACCGGCAGCAACCGGAAGCGACGAGGCCACTGCCCCCCATCTGGACAAAAGAGATGGGTGCGTGCTTAAACTTCTCCTTCTTAGCCTCGGTTGGCGAGCAAACACGCGCTCTCTCGTCCCTTAAGGCACCC